TGAGACAGGGTCTCCCTATAGCCCCAGCTGTCCTGGAACTCACTATGTAGACCAGGCTGGCCTTGAACTCACAGAGATCCGCCTGCATCTGCCCCCCGAGTGCTGGGATTAAAGGCATGTGCCACCACACCCGGCGGCACTTAATATTTTGAGACATGGATGTACAGACCTGTGGGACCCTGGGCCATGTGGGGGCTACTCAAGCAGGCACTCCCCTACCCTGACTCCTTACTCTTACTAAAGACTACCATGGGACCTTATAGGACAATTGCTGTGCTTGCTTTGGGCTATGGTAGAGGGTTTCACAACAGCACTGACTCCAAAGAACATGGATGGTGGAACTCTTGGCTGTGTGACCTAGAGCAAGTTGCTTGGCCCCAGTGCTTATTTCCCATCTATAAGATGAGGATAATAATAGTACCTATTTCTGCTCTTGGGAGAAGTTAATTTATAGAGCACTTGGTAAGGGTTCAATAAATAGTGGTGACATAGATTAATTGACGCCTTTAAGCCTTAGTTTCTTCTATGTAAGATGAGGAATAATGGTCATTCTCTGGTCCCGATATGGCATGTGGGCGTGAGATCAACAAACACAGGTCTTTTGTTTTTATGGTTAGGCTGCTGAAGTTCAACGTCACCCCCACCCTGTGCCCACCACCAGTGGTTCACATCTGGTGAGGGTTTTCTGTGTGCCAGAGCCAGGCTGATCATTTCAATCTGTTTGCTTATTTAATTCTCAGAGCAATTCTGAGGTTGATGTAATTTTTATCCCTTCTCAGCAGAAGAAACTGACGCTTGAAATAAGATACCTCATGGTAGCCACACTGCTAGTGAAAGCCATGGCTTCTGCACATCACCTTAAAACCATGGCCCTGAACCCAAGTAAACCCTTGCCTGACACCTTTCCATGCCAGTTCAGGTGGCCATGGGTCACAAACACAGCCCCTGCTCAGTTCCTCCGGGCCCTTTCCAGCCTTTCTGAAGTCTCTTTAATAGCCCCTCTGGATGGTGGCCAGTAGCTGCCCCTTTTCTGTTTCCTTGGGAACCCTTTCCTGCCGACCAGTGCCTCTTCCAGTCTCGGCGACCAAGCCTGTGCTGCTAGTTTTCACCAAACTACAGGGGTCCCAACCACCAAGGGTGTGCTTCCATTAGAACGTGTGCATGGTGTGTCCCCACCTGTTCAGCACATCAGACAGGCTAAGTCTTGGACAGTGGCACTTGGTGGCCCACGAGGGTGCAACTTTAACAGATGTCATTGCAGTCTGGGCCAAGTGAGGGCAAATGGACCTTCCAGGCTCCAGGTTCAAAGCTGCCTTCCTCCAGAAGACCATCATCAGTGGGTCAGCGCTGTGAGACCAGGTGGTTTTTCTGCCGTCTGCCCTGCCAGTCTCATCTGTGCCAAACGGTGTGAGGCTCACCATGAAGGAATGCACTCTGAAGGAAAGCCCATGTCCCATCTCACTCAGCCACTCTGACCTTGGTGTTGGTTATTTTGGACATGGCCTGGATGAGTAGCCAAGGTCCATGTCCCTGTTAGTCTTGCCCATCCTACTATATTCCCAGCTTGGACTGGGCTTAGATGAGTGACTTTGCTGTCTTCCATCTAGGAACCATCTGCTCCCACAGGTGGGGAGGGGCCCTGTTTGGAGCCACCTGTTATCTACTGTTCAGAGCGTTCTTTTCTGTGCACCCTGTCACCAGGTCTGCCTGTCTGTTGATGTTGACAAACATTCCTGGGTTCTTTGCAGGCAGACAGGCCCTGTGGGCTTCTTGCATGGTAAAGGGCGGGGCAGAGAGTAGGCTTCAAGTCCTGAGTGATTCATGGAGGGTATTGATATTAATCGGAGGAATGTGGGTCACAGCAATAACTACTACTGTCCTGTGACTGTGGATACAGCATGCAGTGTTGTAAGGCTGCAACACACTCCCACGGGTAAGGATGTCTGTGCCAAGAACAGTACCGGCATCATGCACACTCACCCTCCTCCGTAACTAGGGAATGAATATGTTACTGTTAGCCCACTTTATAGATGAGGAAGTAAGACAGCGTGAGTAAGAAATGTGCCCAAGGTCACTCTGCTGGTCACTGGCGGATGTGAAATGTGTTTTTGTGGTGATATAAGGAAGCAGGGAACAGTCTGAGACAGTGGCACCTCAGGCCCCTCTGGCATGGGGTCAAGGGAACATAGTTGAACATTGTTGAGCCTCCAGGCCCTCAGGAGCAAGCCTAAACTGCTTCCCAGGACCCGTGAGCCCCTCCTGAGAGTCCCTGCTGCCTCTCCACCTCCTCTCTCTGCGCTTCCACCATGCTTCAGTAATATTGGTACCATTTCCATTCCTCTAAAGGCTGTTCCTTCCCTTCCGACCCGAAGCATGCTGTTCCCTGCCATCTGGACAGCAGCCCCTCCTGTCTAACTATCATCTCAACTTCTAGGAGCAGTGCGTAATATCCCCTGCTCAGATCTCACAGCACTGACTTTGTGCAATCTGACCTCCGGTTTTCAGCATGCACCGTGGAGCCACAGTGCCACAGCTGCAACGGCTGATATTTCCCTAAGCTCCCTCTGAAACCTCACAGACATG